ATATATTTTTATATATTACATTAAATGTAAAGAGTTAAATGGAAGTTTTTCTAAAGTTATTTAATGATATTTATATTATGAAAATCAGATTTTTGACATTTTAAGTTTTTCCCATTGTCAGATAAAATAAACACGCACAAAACAAAAGCAAACAGCCAGAACACAAAGAAGGAAGACCCACCCGATTGACCAAAATCAACTCAAAATACTCCCACACAACAGAACCTCCTCTCTTCCTCGCTGGCTCCAAATCTTTCAGTAGAAATATCAGTGGTTCGCTATCTGTCACCATCAAAGCGCTCCACAAATCCCGCGAATGATTCACTTCCTTATAAACCAGGGAATCAGACACCGAAAAAGTTAGGCTCTAAATGAAGCTTCGGACGTCACTGATCACGTGACTCTGGCCAAACGAATCAAGCTTCGACACAGTGCTTCTGAAGCAGTGTGTTGATTTTTTTTGACACACGCACCGGGGCGTCAGCTTCAAGCGAGCCATCACTAGTTTTAGGCCTATTGCAAACCCTTTGTGTTTTGTTGTTGTTGTTTTTTATTTAAATAATACATTTTAACGTATTTGACTGATATTGACCCTCTTGTCCCGTTTATTCTGGGCTTGTTCCTGTAAGAGTTTTGGGCCTGAAAGTTTGCACGAGTAGTACAGAGGCCCTTAGCGGTTACTCGGTGGCTTTTACTCGCTACATAAAAACTATTTCACCTTCCAGATACTGCATTATATGACATCTTCAGCTGGTGAACTTTCCTCTCATGGATATTTTGTATAATTCATTTGCATATCTCATATAGAGATGACTTGCACTGATTTCTGTTCAGATAAATATTCCAATTTAAAACTGATCAGATGAGCAGGTGCTGTTTAGTCACCTGGCCACTATTTCAACTCACTGCTGCCAATCTGACGTTTCACAGAATTTCCTTCACTGACCATCTTCAACCTTCAATCTCTACAATTGCAATGTTGCTGTTAATGAGAGCAGCTTGCTGTGATCTTTAAAGATCATTCTCATGATGTTGCTTTGGAAATGTTTCTTAAGAATTTGTTGAGTTTAAGTAATATAACAGTAATTATAATAATGACAGAACATGGCAGATTTCAGTGAATGTGGAAAAATATCACAATCACAGCAGTTATAGCAGCATCCTTTAGATCCTTTAGCAGCACTTGTGAAACCACACACACTTCTTTTAAAATCTGTTACAGAGAGAGAAGCTGTATGCTCATTATTATCTGGAAGATGTAATGATGTGATGATAATTAATGCTCTGTTGACACAGTCTTAGAGGTGATGA